TCCAAATCCTCAGATGCTGAAAATTAGCATTGCTAATGTCAATTGAACAGCTGCTCCAGTGAGTGCTGTAAACCAGAGGGATGCACTGATTTCACAGCAGTGTGCGAAGAACCCAATCTGCAGAGTGAACAAGTGTGTTTAGAGAACAGAGTTATGCAATTCATCTATTCTGGGGATTAGCCATTCCCAGGGTTCTGAAAAAGGTAACTGGGTTGGACTATTTATAGAGTCTGTTCCTACAGTTACAGCACAGATGTAGCACAAAACAGAACCAGTCAGCTTGAGCTACCTCCTCTGTGCACCTGAGTGAATTTATACTCTCACAAATGTTTATACATCTCTCAAATACAACGAAATTTAGGGGTCTAGGATGCTACTCTCGCCTCAGTATCTGCTTGCACATTAGTATGCCCTATTTCCTATTAGCATCTGACAATGCCTTTGGTTTTCAGGTCATTTGTATTACAGAGATAAATAGACACTCCTTTTGAAGAGGTTTCCTTATGTATAAGAGAAGAGAAGGGGCATTAATCTTGGGAAAACTAATGCAATAGTTGCCTAAATTATTCTGCTTTTTAATTTCACAAGGCTACTAGGGATGGTGGCTTAGAATTCTTCCTTTACTTGATTCTGTATTTCTGAGGTGCACTTGTAGGATCACTGTGAAAGTATAAACCCCATTGTTATTGCTACAGGATGATAACTGTGCATAAGAATTATTGAAAAACTACAATCTCTCCTCAAAGAGTTCGCAGTCTTGAGGTCATGCAGAATTGCATAGCTTACAGGAAAAGAAGGAACAGTTTGTAGAAGGATAGTACAGGTTTGGGCTGCTTTTAATAGATTCTACTTTTTATATATAAATATTTGTGTATATACAGTAATTTTTATCTTTTCTTGAATATTGAAAAAATATTTGTTTGAGTAGTAAGCAGTAAGAAGAGGGCAGAGGAGACAATAGGAGGAAATTTATCTAGCTAATGGTGAAAAGCCTGTTCCTAATAGATGGGTTACTACGAAAAAATCATGTAAGGAACAAGATTCTATAGGGATGACCATTTTAATAAGGACTAGGAACCATGGAAAATGAAGTGATTGCTTAGGCAGAGTTGGTTAATTCTTACCTTCACTAGTCTATCCCATGGGATAGGGAGATCCCAACGTAAAACAAGGAGTAACAGAAAATGAGGGCAGAAATATAAGGTTAGGTCCTTCACTACTCAGCATTCTATACTGCCACTCATGGACAGTGCAAGATAAGCAAATTTTGAATTGTTTGTATCCTAGTCCAAACTGCATAGATTAAAATGACAGGGTGCAGTGCATGGAAGTGGTGATCTAGGCCTTTTATAAAAAGCATAGAAAATTAAGATGAAAAGCCTGAATATGGAAGAAGAGATTTAGCCTATGAATAGATTTCAGTGGAGGCTAAGCAAAGAACTAAACACTTCAAGATGAAAAATTTTAAAATGAGATAATCTGTATAGCTTTCTAAGAGAGGAGACTTACACATGTGATCAAGAAGATCTAAAAGAGACCCACTGATGGTTGTGATCTATTCATTTCACCAAAACTCCCACTGCAGGTAATAATTCTGCTCTCCTCTAGTGAAGATCACAGTACAAAAGGTCAGGGGTGATGATCTGCAGAGCCAGACTCCAGCTTTTTCTTTTGAATCGCACAGACTCAACACAGAAACTGAAACATAGAGAAACAGGGAAACAAGAGCACATAACTGTTAAGCACTGAGACGCACAGAGCTGCACTGCAAAGTGCATTTTCTGATAGACTACACTGTCCAATACAACCAGAGAACTGAATGAAACAGAAAGCAGAACAGGGAGTGACTGATACTCAAAATGCATATAAGATGCTGGACTTCTTGGTGAACTGGAATCTGAGAATTACTATAAGATTTTCATGTTAGTACTGATATTTCAGGAGATTCTAGGAAGAAAAATGAGTTTTGAGAAAATTACTGGTCAACACAAAAGGATTTTAAATATGCATATGATGCAAAAAAAGTGCATGCGCTAAAAATGAAGAAAATTATTAATTCATGACTTTGATTTTGACAAATATTAGTAATCTAGGTAATAATTTAATGAAAAGGATGGATTAAATAAAGCAGGAAATATACAGAAAAAGTGTTATTTCTCTATAAAATAATACAAATATATGTACAGATACATGAAGAGTCTCTTGAAGAAACTTCAGGTCAAAATATTTGACTACAGAGTTAATCTTTAATAAGTATTTGTCTAGATATTTTCATTTAAAGGGATGTATTTAGGGTACAAGGTCTTTAAAGTATAACATAAATCATTTAATTTGCTGTAATTCATAGCTCAAATAATGAAAAGCTTTGTATAAAATACAACATTTTTCATCCTCAGTATCACCACTATTAGAGGGTCTGCAGCATCTTGCATGTTTACACAGCATCTAGCACAATGTTTTCTTTCAAAACCCAAACAAAATAATAATTTACACCAGTTCTGTATGTTTTCATGTTTTTCAGCTGACAAGGGACTAAGATTTTTACAGGATAGTCACTGGATTGAAGGAAAGATCTAAAATGTCATCATTTGTGAACTGTACTTGCCATTCCCATGAGATTTCATCAAGCTTCAGGTTGCTTACTTGGATGCTATCTGCTCATCTGCAGTGGCTGCAGAAAATATGGGAATATGAACTTGAAATGTCTTTTCAGTAGAAAGGACAGAAAAATATGTGACTACCTGCATAAAAGGTGCAGACCTTCATTGTTTCATCCTGCATCATCCCGAGTCTCCATGGTTATTTTATGCAGAGCTAGCACTTTCATTTTTACATTGGTTTCATTAGGTCAAACCTAACACTTGCAGATATCCCACACTCCTAATATTTAATCAATCAAACCTTTTCTAGTAGATGTCTTAAACGTTTTTAAAAAGATGACTTTATAGAATGTGCACATAAGCGCAGATATATGCTGAAGAGAGGGTTCCTGAATCCTGAAGTCTTGAGTGAAGAGCTTCAGCCTAGAAGAGGAATGGGAGTGGATTTTAGACTCACCCCTGTTTCAATATCAGATGCATCTCCCTCTGGGATTGCTTGTGCTCTCAAATCCAGTCTCCTTGTGTGGCTTGTCAGGGATGCCATGTTGGTTTCAAGGATGACAAAAAAGGGGCATCAGCCTTTGTTACAGCTCCAACTGCAATGCATGTCACTGAGAAGGAAATCAGGCCTGTACCAAGCATTTAGAGTGAGTAACAGCCAACAAACATTCTGGCCTATATATGACTATATATATATATATATGTGTGTGAATATATCTATGCATAATTCAGTTTGGTATTGATCCCAAAAATCCCATTGTCCAACGGCAGTTTGGAGTACTGTACCAGCTTCCTATCTAGTGGGAAAGGTCATAAAGTGCCCTATTGTTCATTACAGCACTGAATTCAGCAGAGCTTTGACAGCTTGGTGTTTCAGTGTCATGAAGGCTGAGTGATCATTGACTGTAAAATCATTTCCCAGAAATTTTAAATCCAAAGCATAACCTATATACTTTCATACACAATTCTATAAATACTTACATGTTCAGTTAACAATTCACTTACAGAACTTTAAAAATATGCACATATGTACTTGTTGAAACTAACCATGGCTTTTCTTATTGTTCAGGATGCACAACAGCATTTTTGTCACTGACCACTGAAATACGTGTCCGTAGAGACTCAGAGATAGCTCATCTTCATGACTTCCCTTAACAGCCATTTTAGCATTCCTCCAGGCTGCTCTGGATGGACTGCTTCACCAAGCTTCAGATTCTTCTCATGAGAGAGAGATGAGGTAAGCAGGACTCTCCATTTGGTCTTCAAAACAGCCATGCAATGCTGTGTGAAATTCAATGCAGCCATGATATAGGGTGGCATGCAGAGAGCAAGCACTCATGCATTCCTGATCATGTCATCAAAGCCTGGCATGTCCATGATAGGTCAATAGAGAAATTCTGTGATAGAGAGCTCTGCTAGATAACATGGCTGAGTTACACTGGGAGCAAAAGTGAGTGTCCATTCACACATTCTATGTTTTATTTCACTAGTGAAATCTCTAGAAATAATCTAGATCACAATTATCATGACGGTGTTCAGTCTATCCCCCTAGGTAAGCAAGTGAACCTAAAGTCAGGTGGGACTGGGCTGGGACTAGAATCTACCAGCTTCAGTTTTCTCTCTGATCTTTTTCTCGGTGAGGTTTGCATTTAATTTGTCTAAATGTCAACAACCTAGAAACAAGCATCATCAGTATATACTTTCCTCAGAAAGAGAACAGAGAGGTTAAGGAACATTGTGATTCTCAAATGAAAGATCTTATGTAACTGGAGAAAAAATATACTGGCGAGCAATTGTTTCCAAAAGCACAGTTCCAGTAGATGCTAAAAACCTGTTGTGTGAAGCAGACTGGACACAAACTAGAACTGTGATAGGCAATCTTTTGATTTTCACAGAAGTCTCTGTGCTGTTTTTTATCTGTTTGGAAACTGGCATGTGGTTGAAGCTTCATCTAGCTGCATGAACACACAAAGCACCTGAAGATACCCAATATTGCTTACATAAATTACCAAACATGCTGCTGCGGTATTTGAAAAGCCACAACTCTTGTCAATCAAACAAGGTTCTGAAGAGTTTACTGATTGTCACTTTGGCTTTTCATTGTGTCAAGGGAGAAACATTCCTTGGACACATTTAGAAAGGTTGCCTCACCAGTCATCCAGTGTGTCATGAATTACTTTGCTCAGTGACTTACTAGTGTCCTCCCAGCCATAGCTGCAGTCAGAAAGCATTTTATCTGGAACCACCCACTGGAGCAAGCAATGTGGAAAAAGCCTGCTTTTGTAAATAGCACTGCAATAATCTTACTGCAGCATTGAAGCCTTAGATCTAGAGGATGAAGAATACACTAAAGTATACACAAGATTCAGAATTTTAACAATATGATCATTGTTCACCTACCTGGTTGCAGAATCTGTCTAATTGCTTTCCCCTTGTTTTCAACCCTGGAGTCTGATTACATTCAATGGCACAAAATCAAAGTCAGTAGCACACCACCTGCAAGCAAAGCAACACAGATTTTTTCATGCCCAGTTGATTCAGGTATCTGTACAATCTATAAGGGAAGGTCAGGGAAGGGTAGTTTTCTGGCTGATCAAGAAAAAGTCCTCTTGGAGGAAAAGGCTGGGGTCAGCTCTTCCCTCCCACACCCTGATTCCAGCATCTTCAGCTCTTCAGCCCTCTCCCTCATCTTCAGAAGTGCCATGCCCTTGCTGGGTGTCTATAATGCCTTGTGGCACAGAGAAACCTTTGCTGTAATAAACTCTGAAGTTTATGTTGTTATATTGTCTCATTTCCATTATAGCATTCCATGGGTTTCCATGCTAGAAGAGATCACTTAATTCAAGCTTAGATCCTGCCTGAGAAAGTTTGATGGTGTACATAGAGAAACAGTCACACATTTGAACTACAATCTTTTAATCACATTTGAACTACAATCTTTTAATATTATTGTACTTCAGCCCAAGTCTCGTCAAAAGTTACTTCTTCCAAAGGAAAAGAAATGTCAGTATTGATAAATCAGCATCTACACCAACAGTTTGCAATCAGCTTTTGAATTGGTTGCCTTTGTCTGGTAGGTTACTGAAACATTTGATGGTTTGTATTCTCCTGACTGCTCTGCTCAGTTGTACCCACTGAGGCTCATTCTTAGCCTGATGCTTTTAGGACATGCTTTCAAACTCAGAATCCACTGTGTTTTCCATCTTCTCACTCCAAGAGGAGTAAAAAATTGTCTTCTGTCGATCAGTCCTCATTTGTAGGCACTAAAAGTTCCTAAGAAACTGCAGGATTTTCCATATTTTGCCTTTGTATTTATATGCACAGTCTTATACTTACAAAGGATCATGAAATGCCTTTTAACTGAGGTGATAGTGTTTATTTTTTTCTCTCTTTTTCATGGTAGAGTCTATAAATTTGGGTAATCTTGGACCTCCTACTGAACAGCAGTTCAGCAGTTGTTAGCCCTGGTTTCCTGGGTTCCGGTCTTCTATTAAGTAATCTCCAAAAGACAGATGAATTTTTTAAAGCATGCTTTAGAAAGCGAAAAATTTGAATCTGAACATGAATCATCATCTGTCTGAAACATTAAAAGAGCTCAATGCCATTTTCAGCTCATCATTAAACAGTGGATACACTGTGTCCAAACAAAAGTGTACACAATTAAAATCTTTGGTAAATAAAATACATTTATTTGGTCCACTATCTGTCAGGTACACATACGATATGCCAAGTTAAGCAAATATGGATGATATTGGGTAAGTTATTAGCAGCTGTATTTTCAAATAACATAATTTCTAGATACCAGGGATAATAATCCAAATCAAAATAAGTGGTTTTTTCCCCCTCCATATACAGCTATGCAAATTTTGAGCTGCAATGTGAAGTTTCTTTAACTGCCATCACAGCTTTTATTCTTTACATATAATGGGGCCTACATTTAATATTTTTTTTACTTTTACATCTTCACTCATTTGAGGCAAACTGCATTTTTTTAAAATATCAAGTTAAGCCATCTTTGCTTGAGATTTTAGGCACAACCTGTTACTACCTTTGAATAAAAATTACAAGAAAAAGAAATCAGAGTTGTTTTAAGGACTAGGTATGCTGCAAATAAACCAGCTAAAATGACATCATTTTTAAGGGCATCCATACTGACACACTACAGGTTGTCTGAAGTGAAGTCAGGATTTTCAATTACAATATCATACTCTGATGTTTCCTCTCTACTGGTTTCATCCAAAGATCCAGCCTGGGGTCTCTACCAGATTTACTTGGGGGTTGCAGGGGGCACAACTGCAACTCAAAGAGTAACATGGGCAACTCAAGTCTGCTAACACTCATTTTGCAATTGCTACTAATGATTTATTGCCAGTTTTTGCTATCAGTTGTCGCCAGTTTACAAGAAATCGTGATTTTTTGTTCTGTATAAAGACACTGGATTTTCTAACCCTTGTCCTTTAGTTCAGGCTTGGCCATCCCATGCTAAAGGTTCCATATGAATGTCAAGCCTCTGTAAAAAACCTGCCTTGAGGATTTTGCTAAAGGTTTCACAAACATTGTGGTAAAATCTAAAATACGGAGCTTTTTTCTGCCACTTTCAAATCCTGTCCTGTTATGCCATGTCCATTTTTATTCACATTATAACTATGAATATCCCTTTATAATAATTTAGTCACATTTTAGCCTTCAGGTTAGTATCCCTGGTGGTCACATGAGATGCAAATCCCATAAACCCCCTGCATTTGTGTGTAGGGGGAAAGGATATTTACACCTGATGGTATAATGCTGGAAACTACCCTGTTTTCTTGAACTTGTTTAAGTGAATGACTTCATTACCTCTCAGTTACTCACTTTTCTATTTACTAAGGGAACCATGAGATCTCCAGAGCTTTTTTGGAGTTCCTGGTTCTTCCCTTCCTTTTCCCATGAGAACAACATCTACGCAAATCAGAATTATAAAATGTATTTTTTTACCTCTTTATGAAATACCAGGGGAATATAAAATAAACATAAAGCATTCATGGTAAAAGCAATAATATCTTCCAAACTGTGTGTTAAAATGTGCAGATGTAAATTGACTTTTGTTTATGGGTTTTTGTTTTTTTTCTGTAGAAATACACTGGAACTCAGAAGAAGCACCTAATATAGGAAAAATATCTTGCAGCCAAAAATAATCTTTCTTCATGCATATGGGAAAGTACCTCTGATTTACACATTTCACTTCTTAGAACGTAGGCAGAGTTCTATAATTCTTTTTCCAGATTTATAGAGTACTAATTTATATCACAGCTGCTTCAAATGCCTTCATTCTACCTAGCACATTTGAGGTGTTCAGGGATATTCATAGGTGTAGGTGGAAGAGATCAGTAAGGGTCTAACCCCATTCAAACAACTTTTCAGTGGCACCAGCTTCTTATTAAAAACAGGATCCTCTACCATTCTTGAGGCTTCTGCTCCTCTCCAGTGTATTCTTTTACAAAGAAACCTCGTAACTGTCCTGAAGTGACTATTCTTATTTCCCATGAGTATTACAGATCTTAGCTTTTCAATATTTTGTTTCAGTTTTGCATTTGTAGATCACTGACCTTACAGCCTCATTTACCTTCTTCACAGATACCCAGGACTTGCTTTTTGCGGAGACCTCTTTCCTTGTAAATGCTAAATTAACAAAAGCATCTGAGGGTGGGTACATGAGGGTCAGGAGGAGGGTGTGTGTTGAGAGAGTGACATCAACTGAGACAATAAAAGGGCTTCCAAGTTACTTAGAAGCTCTATTTTAGTTACATTTAAGGGGTCCACTAAACCAATTCAGTAGTCTTTAAATATACTTGACATCAAGAGACAGTCATCTGCCGACATACCCAAACCAGAAATCTCTTTAACATTCTATCTGGTAAGTATATTCTACTTTTTTTTTTCCCCAGTTCTCTGGAAGACTTATTTAGAATATTTTATCCTTGATTCTTAATTCATTTTTACATTTGTTTCTTTCAGAATATCTTAAAAAAAAGGTGAGTGTTAGTAAAATCAAAGTGTTATATTATCTGAACCAACTCTGTGAAATGAAAAAATCTGAGGCAGTGAGTTAGAAATAACTTGAAGTGAATTCAAGTCCTGAATTTATAATATTGGATTAGATGACTGCCAGGACCACAATCTTACTGTCATGCAAGAGACCATGTTATAAATGCTTTTCTGAACTAGAGTAAAGCTGCAGAAACTATTGCAAAAATGGTATTGTGGAGTTTTATATTTCTTAAGGTTCAGTTATTCTGTATCAAATTTCTTAAGCTGTAGCAAAAAGATGCCTTTTCTGACTGCCAACACTGAAAATCCAGACTGGAAACTGATATTGGAACTATGTTGTTTCTGCCTGTTGTAGCATCATCAGCAATAAATATTTTCCAAATATACTCCAAATGGCAGTTTTGCTGCTGATGTATAAATCAGAGGGGAATTCATATAGGCAACGCAGGATTATCCCTGAAAAAAATGAAGGGCTCAATTCTGATTTCTCTTAAGTGACTAAATATGGAATGACAGGACTCAGTAGAGCTATGCCTGTCTGCAGAATTGTCAAGTTTCAGCCTTCTCATTCTAAAGAATATGCAAAAGAAATAGATAAAAGAACAGAAGTTTTTACTTGCATAGTTATATACAAGTATTTCATGGTACTTGAAGGCTATAAAGTAGTAATAATAGTAGTAGTAATAATATTGGAAGAACATGGTGCTTTTCACCCAATTATGCAAGAGATAAGTACCCAGGTGACGATGATCATGATGGAGGGCATCTAAGGCTGAACAAAGTTTAAGGAAGTAAGTTGATCACAAAATTAGGATTGGAACTAAATTCTTCATTTGCATTCCTAACCCATTTCACAAAAAAAATATTTTTCAAAAATGATGTCTTTCTTTGGATTTAAGAGAAATTACTTGAAATACAGATTTACACATGTATTAATTTCTATCTTTGTAGACAAAATGACTTCTATAAAAACCCTGGCCCGGACTGCAATCATCTTATACGCCATATGCTTTCTTACAAACTCTGATGGGAGACCAATGGTGTAAGTACATTGTTTTACACGGGAGGGCTCTGGCTGTTCTTTAGGTCTTCTCTTAGGAATATCGTTGGCTAAGCTGCATCCCTTGGGGTCACCACAGGAGGGTATCTTTTGTACCATGTGAGGATCTAGCTGGAACTCACACTTAGACACGAGCATCAACCAGTTGAGACTCAAATCCACAGAGAAAAACTTTTTCCTTAGTTCTAATGATCACAGAAAACTGCCACTGAATAAATGCCGTAGTTGGATTTATCTAATTGACCTAATATCATATAAGCCCTAAGTTCATCTACAATAGCTAAAATAAATGATAAATACACAGTCAAACAATGTTGTCACAAAATCTGATTATTCCCATTTTTGATGCCTTCTCACTAACACATCACCACCCACCCTCCCTCTCTTCCCCAGGGAACAAACCAAGCAA